ATGGAGGATAATGTAGATTTAGCTAAATTGAATATCTATTTGTATTCTATTGCTGATTTATAAAATAAAGAAAGGATTGCTGAAGTAAAAAAAAAAAAAAAAAAAATAGTAATATTGATATTATATATAAAATTGCCATGATATAATTTATTATTCAATATAAAATTTAGGTTAGACTCAATATAGGTATAATTATATTAAATCAGATGTTTGTGTTAAATTATTATAAAATTCAATTAATTATATTAAATATATTCATAGGTCATCTAATTATAGATGAGTTGCTTGGTATATTTACTCGAACCAAGCAATCAAAAGAAACTATTAATATTATAGTGGGTCCCTTTATGAATAGCTTTACTCTTAATGCAATAGATGCGATACTAGAGATAACAAAACTATTAAAGCTATTAGAATAACTATTTATATATTCTATCATTATGACAGATATAAACTGATTGCCCAAATATTTGATCAATACAGTTTTTGATAAGTTGTATAATGAATCTTATACCTTCTTCCTCTTATTGTAAATTTATTTAATCTATTGTATATGATTTTTTTCTTATTGTTGTTTAATTTATTGTATATATATATGGGATTTTTGTCTTGAAAATCACCTTTCGACATTTCTGATCAGGTTAATTTAGATAAAAATAAACCTGAGTACCGGTTCATGTTTATACGTTAATCATCTTTTAACTTTATTGATTCAATAGTTTATCTAATAACTATTGAATCAATAAAAGTTAATATATAAACATGAACCAGTACTCGGGTTTATTTTTATTCGAATTAACCTGATTGGAAATGTCAGAAGGTGATTTTCAAGGCAAAGACCCCATATATTTTTTACTTATTATATCAATAAAACAGATCCTGGTAACTGATTTCATATACATAATTGTATTTACTTTGCAGATATATTTCGTAAATTTATTTATTGTATTGATATCAATGTATAACTCATATATAATTGAGGATTTTTTAGTAAAGTGATAGAGCAAAAAATTTTTTTACACAGACATTAGTCTATAAACAATAGTATAGACACCATATATTGCAGGCTAGTTCTAAACATTTATTTTCACATATATTAATAAAGCAATTTTACATTTGTGTTATATAATATTGAATAATTCTTTTGTATATAAAAATATTATCTATCATATTATTTGCACTTGAAGTATTAATTACTAAACTTGAAGCTAAGTAAATTGACTAGAAAACTAAGCTTGAAATATTGAGACAGACCGAGCTTGAAGCTAGAATTTTAAAACTAGAGCAGGATCAGACAGAAAAAGAAATTAAAAAAAAAACAAATTTCAGATTAAGTGCATCTAAATAGTAAGAAAATTCTTAATGAGAAATCTAAGATTAAATATCACCTTTCTTTCTTAAACAAATTAGAGCTTGATGTCTTCTTTCAAAAATATCAAATTACATTAAAGATGCAAGAAGCTCAACATCAACTTCATAGCACTAGCTGGTATAAAGATATCAAAAGATTTGAGAATATTGTTAATTGTAATTAGAAGAAAAAATGCATGTATCAAGATAATGAAATTTTCTTTCTGGAAGTGTGGTAAATAATGAAAAACCAAAAATAGTTATATCTGAAAGAATACAAAAAATTAAGGGTTTTATTAACCAAACATTTAAAAATTTTAACTTATAATCAATTTAAATTGCTGATTTATAATTAGGTGCTATAAATACTACATGGATTTGAATTTTTAGATTATACTGTTAATATAGTGATACAAATTGATGAAAATTTTTCAATCAATTAGTTGATAGATCATTTTATCCAACTAATCGATTAATCAGTTTTTATTTAACTAATCGATTAGTTGGCTAATCGATTAATCAATTAATCAACTAATTGTTTAATTGTTTAATTGACTAATTGATTATTGTAGTTTGCAAAATTCTGTAAATTTTGTGATTAATGATTATTAATTATGATTAACAATTAGTAATTTCTGATTTCTTATTTTTTTCATATATTTTTTTAAACTTTAGATTAAACTTTAATATTTTTTATATAAATTTTTATAAAAGATATAATAAACTCTAATTTTAACTTATTAATAGTATTAATAAATTAAAATTAAAGCTTACTATGTCTTTTATAAAAATTTATATAAAAAATATTAAAGTTTAATCTAAAGTTTAAAAAAATATATGAAAAAAATAAGAATCAGGAATTACTAATTGTTAATCATAATTATTAATCATTAATTATAATCGATTATTTTTTTTTTATAATTTGCAAAATTTACAATATTTTGCAAACCAATAATCGATTAGTTGACTAATCGAACTAATTGATTAGTTGAATAAATAATAAACAAAACTTGGTAATGGTAAAATACACATAAGGTAGCAACTGAAACAGCCAGTTGATATTCTTATATTCATATAGTTGATTTAATCAACCAATCGACTAGTCAATTAATTGACCAATCGACTAATCGATTATTCGATTAGTTGGCCAATCGATTAATCGATTAGGCGACTATTTGATTAATCGACTAAGTTGGGTCTGTAAAATTCAAATCGATTAGTTGTCAACTTTACAACTAATCGATTAATTCGATTTTCGACTATGTTAATATTAAGATTGTGATTTTTGGTTTGCAGATCCTCACGTGTAACATCCACGTGTATATGCAATCCTATTGGCCGATGGTATAATCGTATACTGTTAAAATTATGAACATCTAAATTCTAAAGATATGTAGAATCAAAATAAAAAAGATTTTATCGAAATCGGCTAAGCAGTAATTGAGAAAATTTTGCTTAAAGTTAGAAAAAAATCCATTCACCTATTATGGTTAATTTTTTTTAAATTTCGAGCGAAGTTTTCCTAATAATCTTCAAACCAATTTCCATGAAGATTTTTTTTATTTGAATTTTACAATTGTGTAAAAATTCAAATAAAAAATTTTCATGTAAATTGTTAGATGATTATCAAGAAAACTCGCTTAAAATTTTAAAAATTAAGTGTACAGTCAGACCTCTCTATAGTCACCTCCTCTATAGTCACATTTGATTATAATCACAAAAATTTTTAAAACCAACTTATATAGCACTTATAAAATTTAACCTCTATATAAGCACAAACTCTCTATAAGCACCAAATTCTTAAAACCAAGGGTGTGATTATAGAGAGGTTTGACTGTAACTTATTTATAGACAAGAAAGATTTTCCTAACTTAGAGCAAGGTTTTCTCAATAACCATTTAGCCGATTTTGATAAAAACTTTTTATTTTGATTCTGCGTAGTTTTAAAAGTTTTATAAAAATGTTTTATCGAAATAATAGAAGTGGTTTTTTGAGAAACCGTCGTTCAAAGTTTTTTCTTAACTTTGATATATGTACCGGATGATAATGTAAACAAAATTACCGTCAGCCAATAGGATCGTACGTTATATGTAGATGTTACTCGTGAGGATTTGCAAACCAGGAACAGATTCAAAAATCGCGTTAAGATTTTTTTGAAACATCATTACGTAAAAGTTCTGTAAATTAAAGAATGTGTTGGATAACAACGAACGAAATTCGAAATAAAATTGACAACTTAATCCATAGCTACCCCAAGCTTCCATACTTTCCCCCGGGAAACGAAATGTAAATGTAATTCGCGTATACCTCTCTAAAATCTGTTCTATGCTGACTCATACTGTTTCAGGCTACCATTTCAAATTGGGAAGAAAGTTTCAGTAAAAGAATATAATACTTTTCTTGACCGTAACGAAGCAATCGGGTACAAATTTTATTGGGAAAATAAAAACGTGTATATTATTGAAATGGCAAACCCAGAACATGAGGCTGTTAAATCATATCTTTTTAAACGGTTTGATTTACCCAATAATGGTGTGGACGTTGATCCGCCGATAGAAGTTTATGGTCAACCCTGTAAGAGATTTTAATTAAATTTACTTGGTTTTTGACTTGTAATAACAATCTTCATTTTTTTTTTTCCAGATCATTTTAATCCAACTGGCTATGGTAATAAAATTGCACCGGATGTCGCGATCTGTCCAAGCGAAGTACACGTTCCACGGCCATCAATTCCTCACCCTGGTCCTCCCCCTAGCAACGTGAATGTGCTTTGAATTTTGTATATAATGTATATAATATCGTAATATTACTTTTTTTAATATTACTGTATTAATTATATGTTATATTATATAGATGCGTAACCATGCAAGAGTGGTTTGTGAAATTGCCAATGCTCAAACCATTGCTGAGTGGGAAAAAAGGTGTGAAAATTGGATGCACGAAAGATATATACGATGTGTATTTGGTATTAAGCTTGGAAAAAAAATAAGTCACCAGGACCAAGTACATAGATCAATGATTGTATGTCTAACTGCCCGTTTTATTATTTTAACTATCTTGGAATTTATTTTTAAAGGGTCTTTTAATATTAGGCTAAGTTATGGACGCGCCAGGCACTGGCTGAAAGTGTACTATCAACCAACCTAACTTTAGCGGGAGCAGGAGTACATGTTAAAACGGTAAGATGAAATGGTTAATTTATTGTCGCATTCTCGCCAGTTGGCTATAATAATATTTGTAACATAATAGTGGGATTTTGGTACCTTGCGATATGGTACGTTTACACCAACCAATTGCATTAGTGCAAATCTTCCTGCATACCAAGTAACTATTCCAGTATTGGATATTTTTTGGAACCCTCCCATTATGAACGGAGTTGTAAATGAAGTGGATTATATTCCAACAGTTCCTCATGGTGTTGTTGGCAATAATTTTCTCATAGATTTATATAGCATTCAACGCTGGGTTTTTAAAACACAAACTTGAAACTGTATTTTTAAAATCACATTATTGCGTATTATTGCGTATAAACCTATGTGAAAAAAAAATTTTTTAGATATGTAATCAAACTTAACCGTAATTTTTATATTTGTATTTTGCATTAGGCCACGCAAAGTTAATTTTTCGTTTTGCATAACATGGAATCTGAAAAATTGGGTCGGCGGGCGGATTTTTTTTTTTTTTTTTTCTGTCGGTCCTATCGGATAATTGCGGGATTAATCGGGTGACACCGGATAAATTTATGAAAAAAATTAAATAGCAAAAATCGAATAATTGGAACAATTAGAACATAAAAAATTTTTTTGAAAAATTAAAAAAATGGGTCGGCGGGTTATGCAAAACGAAAAAGTAACTTTGCGTGGCCTAAGCGACATCAAAAAGTTGAAGGAAACCGAGTGCCCTAATTTCCCCCACCACTTCTGATTGACTGTACTAATTATTCATTTAACAGAGCCAATCCAATTTCACGATTAGGTGTAACGCGCAAAAAAAAATAAAAATAAAAATACAAAAATTAAAAAAAAATAAAAATAAAAATACAAAAATTAAAAATCGTTCATAACTCTAAATTCAATATATGAAACTGTCTTCTACGCACTAATAAAAATTTTCCTTGTAAAATTTTGGATTAAAAACGTCTTATAATTATAATATAATGCCAAAATATTAATTCTAGTCTAACAGCACGAATTTTTACTTGAAAATTTTTTGATTACTAATATAAATTCTCAAATAATTGAATAATTAGTACAGCCAATCAGAAATTAGTAAATCCAAGAAGACCATCCCTCCACATTTCATGTTACACATGAAACGTGATCGTACTGGTATATTTGATTTCATATGTGCTATTTAATTATACTTAATTATACATTACATTAACTCTGGAGAGATGATCTGCTCGGTATATAATCAAATAGCAGGCTGAAATCAAATATTTCTTAAAGTAATTCTGTATTTATGTATAAACTTTATTTCAGGAAATAACTTGTTTATATTGTCTCTATTATACGTACGTACGTGCGTAGAGTTAATCTGGATCCGAATTTATAGCTTATATCCGGATTTAATTATTAACTCCGGATTTACAGCTGTTCTCATAAATTCAGGGACAGCTGAAAAATTTTATGAACCGAATTCGATAAGTTTCTGAGTTTGGCCGAAGCCAGTTACCTAGTGATTCCGACTCGGTAACTTATCGAATTCGGGCATCAAAAATTTTTCGCTTGTCCCTGAATTTATGAGAACAGCTGTAATTGTTAGTAATATCCGGATTTAGCAATGATGTTTAGACATAGACGTATTATCTCTTTATATCTGAAACCGATTTGTGAATTGACAAAGGTAATATGCCTGCATATTTATATCCGGATATTACACATATAACCGGATCTATTGACTAAATCCAGATATAACAACTAAATCCGGATCTAAGGCCACGCAAAGTTAATTTTTCGTTTTGCATTAACCGCCGACCCATTTTTTTTCAAATTTTCGATTTTTTTTTTTTTTTTTAAGCCCCAATTGTGCCAATTGTTCTATTTTTGCCATTTAAAATTTTCCCATAAATTAATCCGGTATTACCCGATAGCGTCCCTATTTTCCCGAAATGATCCGATAGAACTGATAGAAAAAAATTTGACTACTAACCTAATTTTCTGATTCCATGTTATAAAAAGCGAAAAATTAACTTTGTGCGGCCTTAGATGTAAACATGAGCCATTAATTCACCGTAGATTTTTTTTTAAAAAAAAAAAAAAAAATCCGACCGACCGGGAATTTTGAAATCCATGTAATGCAAAACGAAAAATCAACTTTGCGTGGCCTAATGGTTAAATCCGGGTATAAACTATTAAATCCAGATCCAAGTATTAGCTCTATACATACGTATGTTGTGACGGTGAAATGTGACCTAGTCTCAGTTATGAAAACATGATTCGATCCACATAACTCGGGACCCGAAATGCGAATTGATCGACAAAGCAAAGGCATTTAATAGTACTAATTCGGGTTTGGTTTGAGGCGATGCTCCACTGAGAACAATAGTAAGGAGTCGCAGGTATTCACATGGTGAGAACTAAAGTCATTATCATGTAAATGAGTATGAATTGCTTATCGTTAGCCATAGATTTCTCTGATACTCTAACTAGCTATATTATTAATTATTTATTAATTAACAACTACTCAATTTTGTTGGTTTGTTTTTGCCTTTTATAGTTTTTATGGTTTGTAGTACATTTATATTTTTGGTCGTTCTTGTATTGTATCTATTTGATTTTAACCGGATGATCGTCAAAACAACTTCCTTGTAATTTATATAAAATGAAGGATCTACTCCCTCCTTTTTTATATATACTTTGGTACTAGATACTGCATGTAGATACTACATGTAGATTCTAGATACAGTGTGCTGATCATTAAGTATTGGATACAAAAATTTTGACCATATTTATTATTTTTGAATGGATAGTTTAATTTGTAAACAAGTATTTCTCAATTTTTTACATCTTTTTGTTTTTTTTTACACTTTTTTTGATAGGTAGATTAAATGATAATCAGTGATCGTCAAAGGTCGAAATGTAAAAATCGTAGCAAAAGAATTTGGTTTCAGAGTCATGTGCAAGGTTTGTAATTATTTGATATGAGGCGTGATCAATAATGGGATTTATTATCAATAAAAACAAAGCTCCTGTGTTGTATGGTTTTTGTGTATATAGAAGTGTAATCTGATTGGTTGTTTTTTTAATATATTTACATTAATAAATATTCTATTTATTATGGCTTAAATTTGATGTAAACACTAAGCCTATTGTATGTTTTGTTAAAAGAAATCTGACTCATTTGTATCTATATGTGGAATTGTCAAAACAACTTCCTCATAATTATATAATACTTAATATAATATTGAGGTATGATCATTAATTATATAGTACTAATAATTTAATTAAGTCAAAACGAATTCAGTAATTTGTTGAAATTATGAGACACTTCAAGATCAATGGACCTAGTGATCATCACATCACATGAAATTATGCAATTATATAACACTAACAAATCGTCCAAAGTTATATTATCACCTAACCCTGAAACTAACCTTAATTTAGGCTGAGTGTTTAATCATATAATGTGATGAACATGAATATATCACTGGATTCACTAATCTTGAAACTTTTTAAATTATATTTCCTATTAATTTTGTTATTTTTATGCCTTATTATTTTGGCTAAGCCTTATTAAAAGCCTTATAACTTACTATAGAAGTATATGCTAACATGCATAGATATGCATTTGCTTATGTAAATTTAGTCTTTTTGCTACTTGAACATATTAAATGATATGCCAGCTACTATTACTGAATCATAAATCAAGCAAGAAACTTATTTAATATAAATACTATTTCTATCAAACTGATTATACATTAATTTATTAATAAAACAGATATTTAATAAATCTTTAGAACTCAACCTTTTCATTAATTATCATAGGCAGAAGGTAGTCTGATTGCTAATAAATTCTATTTTATTTTACATTATTTATACAGCTTAGAAGATTTAATTTTTTAAAAAAAAACAAAAACAAACTATAATAAAGTAAAGAAAAGTTGTAGAGAAGGTTTCATTAAAGCTATAGAACTCAATAGTCAAAAATAAGATCTAATTTCATCTGTTTAAAAAAATTAGCTTAGTAATAAGTTGATTTTATTAGGTTTTAAGAAGTTATTATTATACAAATTTTTTCAAATAAATGAAATTAGATCTTATTTTTGGCTATAAAGCCCTACAGTTTTAATGAAACCTTCTATATATCTTTTTTTTTATTAATATAATGCCATAGTAGAAACTTTATTACAAATAAAAAAATAATTCTAAACCTAAAGATTTTTATCTACATTTGTATTATATAAGACACTCAATGTGACATTACACCCCCTATTTCCTATAAAATGCTATAGTTAATTATTTCAAATTAATTTTTAGCTAGAATAGATTGGAGGAGACCTAAGGTGATAGTCATGGCATTAAGTAAAGCATGCAGTTAAAGCATATCTTTGTAAGAGACATTTATTAATAAAGAGATTAATATCTAAAGGTTGTATTGTAATTTGAGAATTATTTGAAGAAATAAATATATTTGG